AAAAACACGAATTAAAAATGTGAATTTAATCAGTCGCCATCAAACTAACTTATCAAAGACGAGAAATGGCCATGTTTATGATAAGCAATAGCTCGGGGCAGTGTCTAAGCACCAATGATAGACAATAAACAGGGAAAACTGTTTTCGTGCTACGTGTACCATCTGGTGATGAAATTAAGCGATAGGTTGATATAATACAGGTCTCTGGCATTAGAATGATTAAAAACTGTTCATGCATGATCCGTGCTTCTTATAATTAACTTGTGATTCACTATGGAACTGAATACACACTATTCGATACACAATATTACAAAATGATTATACGGTTGAATAAGAAAAGAAACCACAGAACGGTTAGGGTAAACCTATATGCTGTAATGGGTTAGGGTTAGTACTGTGGTTACGAGTTAATCTTTATTACATAAGAAAATTACATATTTGGCAGACATGGGAATCCGTACAACGGCTATAACGGAGCTCTTTCTCTCTTCCCGGTCTATAGATGATAATAACTGTGTACGGCTTCAATATAGCAGAAAAATAAAATTTAATATCATACTTAAAGTCAGATTTTTTACGGGTACAAAGAGTAGTATTGTCTGGAGCGCAAAGTAGTCTGGTACAGACCCATGTTACAATAGTATATTTGATATTGGTAGGCCCTATTTATACGCTATATGCCGAAAATACATGGTTAAAAACACAAATTGGATACACAGAAACTGGTTTATCATTGAACAAATCGAGAACGGTAAAAAAAAACATAACTATATATAAATACTACACTCTATCTCTTTTTCATTTTTGGCGCTGATATAAGTGTTTAGACAATAAATCATTTGTTATCAATATACAGTTATTCTATACTCTATACATAATCTAACTTATTACGCTATATTTTCTACACTTTATAAGTATCTTCTCGTTCATACTAATATTACATGTAATTAGTTTATTGTATCTATGCCAAAAATCATATAGAATCTTATAGCCAGTATACCCACAAAGTGATAAAAAGACAAGGATAAAGTCCAGCATAATAGTATATACAACGGAAAAACAAAAACTATACTATAGGGCTAAGGAACCGAGCATGGCGTCATCGCCGTCATCCTGGAATTGATTACTGTAAATCGATGCACTTACTGTCCAAGGAACAAGCTTGATCGTACTTGAATTAGCGCTCCCCAAGAAGATGAGTAGCCTACCAATTGGGGACCAGTTCCTGTTCCAAGCATATCTACATAATGATCAAAACTTTAAAAAATTAATTCAGGTATAAAAGAATAAAATGGCAACAAGATTAATCGTACATAGTTGGTGGTTGACCAGAAAGTAAACTCCCACAGGAAACATGTATCGTACATATCACAATAAGACAATTGTGTGAAATACCACGAATTGAATGCCGGAACGTCCGGTAAAATTTCACATCGTCATGGTACTACATGTATTGCAATTAATGAAATATGACTATTGTGGTTACAATGGCTATAGGATTGTTGGTATTATAACCACTTGTGTTCTTTTTATACGCCCACCGTAGACGTTTATTATACCCACATGCGTTTTTTGAAAACCCCAGAGGCTAGATAGATATTAGAGGATTATTGTTTTGTTTTTATTTTTTCCTCCAAATTCACAAAGATTGTCAATTGGGTAATAAAGAAGAACTCTTTCGAATTTCTAAACAAAAAAGTAACGTTTCATAAATCTTTTACTTTTCATTATATCCCTTTTTCCATTCGAAATTATGAAAACTTTAGAGTATGGTACCGAACAAGTTTTTGGTGGATTTTTAAAAATATTCGACGAGATTCTTCATAGGTGCCAAATTCATTTTTTGGTGTTATTGTGACCGTATTGAAATTCGAAAAATTGCGACTGTAAATTTTCAGAATGGAATACAGCACAGTGATCTCGATAGAGTTGTTCAATTGTGCATAAAAAAAGATCACTATCGAATTTCAAACATGTTTTATAGAGTTCTATTTCCGGCAACTTTTTGCCTTTTTCAGATTGTGAAAACGATAAAGGACTAAGATTTCGATCCAATTATTGAAGCTGGCTATAGGTGGGATATAGGACATAGTTTTCGAAAACAGTTTATAAACATGTTGAGGTTGTTTATTTGATCACAAGAAAAATTGTCCTCCTTTACCGTATTCATCGAATTAACGGAATCCAGAAGAGGCAAACTAAATTAAAATACATCAATATAAGAATACAGCGAAAACGGTACAGTACATAATTATATTGTGAAGAATCTTTGTATATTAAACCGTTTTAAACTAACCTTACTAGGGAAAGGTGTCTTTTTTACGGACTGTTAGTTAGACTTGTAGAAAAGCACCAAATAATTTTAAGACTCGTAAATGGTTCAGGGGTTGGATGACCGAAAGATTTTTTAAAAAACGCGTGCACTTTAGTTCCTAAGGTCTGTCATTGAGTTAAGCGACGTGGTTTGTTCAATTCCCCGCTTGTACGTGACAAGGGTAGGGTCGCCTGTTCAACCTCTTGGGTTTTATCCCACTGCTAAAAACCTACACAAAAGCGAATTTTTGAAATAAAAATTGAACTATAAGGCATGTCATTGAGTCAACTGGCGTGGTGACGAACCCCCGATTGTACGTGACAAGGAGTAGGGTTGCCTGTCCAATCTCGTGGGTTTTCTGCGGGTCCTCCGGTTTCCTCCCACTGCTGAAGACCTCTACGCGCAAGCGAATTATTGAAATAAAATTAAAAACGATATGTTAGTCCAAAAATTACCTAGTATGTGATGAGTGGACGTTTAACCCCTTTTCTTCCTATCTCTCTCTACTGGATTATTCTTTTAACATCTTCATAATGGAAATGCCTCTTTAAGTAATGAACAATTTCTAGAAACCGGTCTGAATAAAATGAGAGGGTGTAGTATAATTTTTATTAGATAATGGAGTAAAATATCACACAGATTAAAATCTAATATACACATTCTTTATTTGTGCTAATTTACTGTAGCAACTGTTGAATCTAGCAACGACCACAGGAAGTCGTTATGGAATTCTTCAGATCTCGTGCCAAAATCAAAGAAATCTTTAACATTCTAAATACATGTACCTTTGCTCTGGACAATAGCGTTTCTTTTGTTGTTGTTGTTTTTTTAATATGTTTAATTCAACAATGAATAGCCCCATAGATATACAAAAACTAATTTACCTACATACGACAATTAACTTTAATGGTACAATTGTCGGTGATGGACTTCCTTTTTTGTCTGATCTTTGAGAATGTTTGGATCTACCCTGAAAATCTTTTTCTATTAAAACCACAGCAGGAAATAAAGAATGGTGGATTTTATTCCACAGATGATAAGATTATTATAGAGAGTCGGCCACTAGGGTATATGGTTGCCTGTAGGTATATAGTATAGTCATAACACTACATCTGATAATACTACCCAGGTCCAGGTGCAAGTAAAATAATATAGGTCTATCACATACAGTTCATAGAAAAACATATATACACAGATATTGGTCAGTTTCTTTATTGTTTTCGAAGAGCCAATGCGGGTAGGATTAAATACTACTATTATGAGGCAGGATTAAGCACTTACTAAATGAGGTAATGAGTTGTATTTGTGTTTTTGTTGAAACGTTGTTAGAGGAAATCTGTTGTTTAAAAACGTTGGTATGTTTACAATTTTATCTAGTCGCAACTCACACGCTGGGAAATGGTGAGAGATGGTTTATGTCTTGTCATTAGCTATATAGTATAATTAAAACTTATTAATTTGTGTGCCAATCAGGGCCGCCAAACTAAAGAAGTGTATCAAGCGAAGCGATCAGTCAGATTGAGAGCAGATATTAAACCCGATTCATTAGCAGTAAGACTGACCACGAATTGTTTAAAATAATTTTACTTGAATGAACTTCCTCAAAATACAATTAAAAAAACAACATAGTCGATAAACAAGATCACAGACATTTAAAATAGTGTGTTCTTTCTTCAAGATTTCTGATATAGAATATAAGACGTATAATATCATATAGGAAACCAATATAGGCTATATTTGAATGTCTATTTTCTTGGCATTCATCCCTAAAATTGGGGTTTTACATTTGAAAATTTAACTTGTACATGCTTCCCAGTGTATATCAGGGTTATTCAACTAACTAATTTTTCGCAGTATCGCCAAATTATATTAGAAAATACTTTGACCTGAATACATGTAAGATTGTGGCATAAAATTATTGCAGTTGCCTTGTGGCAACATAAACGCGGCATCAAATTATTGTGATTGAAGTTTATAATTCCATAAATGATGTGACATTTAAATAATGCGAGCAGTAAGCCATCACATTTGTATTCTATTAAACGCAAAGTTTTCTTACCCTGCAGTACGTCGAAAGTTATAATGTCGTGTCCTGAATTTAAGGGCAAATGAAGGGTAAGAAAACATAAGAGTATTATATTCAAACCTTTAGGTTTATTTTCCATTTATGCCATATCGACTGATTACATAGACTACTAGTATATTAAGATTTGCTCGATAATCAATTTACACCAATAGTAACGAACTGTTTAATTAATATCCTTCTATATACCATATTATCTGGTATTCTACTAAAGGATTTCTTACATAAGTACATATCATGCCACAATCTTTTTAACAGCCAACATAAAAATAAAAATATGATTTTTTTTTTCAAATCTGAGTTCTGTATCCAAGTATCGTGCTGTGAAGTAAATGTTTTGACTGCTAGTACATTGGCGTTTAGAGCTCTGATATATCTGTTTACATCGTTAAGCAGAAAGTATCTATCACTGCGCCGCCATCCCGCGCCTCTTTCTCCAACACTCCAGATTCTCATCTCTACAGGTACAGCTGTTAGACTGGTTGCCATGGAAGCACGCGGATAAGCATATCGTCTGTTACCTACCTTAAACCCAATTCATAAGTACATCCACAAGATAAATCTTACACGCTATAACTTTCCTTAACCCGTCTGTCTGAAGTGTCGAACTTTTTAAAATTTTTATTTAATCTTTTTTCGCTTCCATAATTATTTATAAGCGAAATTGAGAGTTTTAATATATCTTTCTTGAAGGTGGCTGGTTGGATGCTTATCAGAAATATCAAGTAAGAAATTTGAAACTTCTATAAAGAACAAACGAGAAGAAAACGTTCAGGTGAAACATAATGCAATAGCCACTAACTCAAACGTCTGCCATACTGCGCGTGCAAAAACCGCAATAAGCCACCGGGGGAAAGTGACCGGAAACTGGTTTTGGTGCCAAGGTGGAAGATAAGCTTCCAGGAACAAGTTTTCAAGAATGTAGGAGCTACATGTACAAGCTGGTTATTTAAGTGATTGTGATTATGTATCGACGATCTAATACTGCTGATTTGGGATTTAGTAGATACGTAAGTGAATTTTATCTTACTTTTAGGAACTTGCCATATCTATTATAAATGTGTAGAACGATTTAGACGTATGTATATCTACATATAACTATAAGTTAGATTATCTGTTGGTATGGACACCTATATTCATTACTTTATAATAAATAATAGAAAATACACTAATCAAAAACACTGAACGTGTGTAGACTACGTATGTATTCAATGTAGACGAATCGATATAATAAATATTTGAGGGCGTACCCAAAATATATATGATTTAATTTAAAATTGAAGTGAAGTGGAATATTGACAAACATTTAACATTACTATAAGTTAAATTTAGAGTGTTGAAGTTATTGGAATATTAATTTTGATCAACGTACTAATATCATGATCGAATTTGTTTCTAAAGAATTTTATAGTTGTTTAAACATAAACTTTCATAATGTTTCGTCACAGGTTTTATTGATACTAGGTTGTATGAGTAGTTCAAGACTCACGTCTTGCATTCAATGCCAGGAACATTAATAGAAAACACGTTCTCATGCATTTATGTGCTAATATCTGACATGTTCTTTGGTTATAAGACATGTATATATACACACAAAATACATAGGGATTATTTATAGAGGGTCAAGCACTGGTTACCATGACATAACAATGTATATAACCATGGTTACTTGTATCTCTATCAGATAATACAGAACCAGGCAAATCTAACGTATGACGTAATACTGACCAGTTCTATTAAAGTTTGTTGATAAGATTGTATAAGTAGTTTTACCATTCCTTTTATCGTTAATACATTTACGATGTGGTTATTACATTGATTTGCCTATTGTTTATAATTTATGACTGCTTTCTTCTGGATTCATTTTATTAGCAAATTGTGAAAAATTTAACCTAACCGATTACGCTTAAAGAAGCATTATCATTTTCAAAAAGAAATTAAATTTCATTGATTTATATATAATATTGCATTCAAAATAACCTTTGGGTCTCCAAATCATCATTTTGCACGAGCGTGTAAATTAAATCTTTCAAACTTTATATCCCAGAAATGTATCAACAAATGTCTCTCACGCAATCTCATTTATATGTAGTCACTCTTGATTATTTATAAGATTCTGAAAAACATATTTCCAATAAAACATTCGTATATGTTTCGGTCTGGTTTGGGGAAATATTAAATGAGGTGTGTTAAATTGTAGGTCAAAGGGCCTTGCAGGGAACAGCGTCTAGTCGTTCGGATGGGACGTAAAACCGAGATCCAGCGTACACGTTGGCGTGCACGTAAAAAACCCTTGACAGTTGGAATTTCAAATAAGAGTAGACCGTAGTGCCGCTGTTTTACCCAAATTTCCCTCATTACACTGGTTCAATTCCAGAGCGACCTATAACATATGTCGTGACCTTTTGATTCGTATACTATACTGTTTGTCTTTATGTAATTGAATCTCTAATACATAAGATATATAGTGTTTATATATTGTTGGTATACACATGGTAATGTAATTGTACACCACCCTGCACGTTACCTGGCAATCATAAACATACTATTGCACACGCCATGCGTTTAATTGCCGCAACATTTTGACCTTTCTCTCTTTTTCTTGGGATGACTTGAAATGATGCCAAAATCTGACACAAGAAATAATATTAGTAGCTCTTAAAAAGTATATTATTTAATATTTGTAAATAAATATTTGTGAAAATCTTCGTTCTCTTTCAATTAAATATGCAAAGTAAATTTATATATCTAGCTAGTCCGAAACATTTGACCTTTTACTTGCCCTCAGGTGGTTAATTTTGGTGTTTATGATAAAGAGATCGATAAGGGCCTCTGTTTTGTGTGTTTGGATCCTACGCGGATTTGGATTTTTGCACGGATCCCTTCCCTATATTGATCGAAAACTTAAATATATGCCTTTTAAAACAAATTTATAGTTTCTGCCAATATCAATACGTCAGGCGTCTATTGGTTTGTATCTCGGGAAAGGTAAATGATTCAGCTTTTAAACAGCTAAAAGGTAATTCTCAAAAACATCCGAACCTTCATAAGGACAAAGGCAGGACTCCCCAGTCGTTGTCAAGCATTTTAGACTGGCTAAAGTGTCAGACATTTTGGAATAGTTTCTCGTAAGATCGTATTTCTTTAAAGCTAACGATAGAGTTTTAAAGTTACGACCGACATCTAAGAAAAATTAAAGTAACAATTTATGCTGTATTCCTATAAAAGTTAGCAAGTTGTGAGAACGATTTATGAATGGCGGGCTAAATGAATCTGATCCTTAACCCGATTTTATCTTATTTTACGGCGGTAACCTACAAGACTAGACAAAGCCCAAAATAACAATAATTGCGCTCTAACTGTAATTATCGCACTTTCCTAAACAAATTGGAACAGTCAAAGAAAACATTTAAAAATACCAAGCAACACTGCAATTACTGTAAACCATATCACCTTTCTAACAGTACACTAATCATAGAATGATGGCATGTGCTAACGACTAAATCAAGTCTATGACCCTCTTACATCACAAGCACCTGGTTATTTCGGAAGTACTTTCATGGTTCGGTCCTATTACTAATAATGTTTATATACAGCTGGCCACTTGAGTGGTCGAGTGAACGATTAAGTGTCTTGTGTATGAAGGAACCTATCGTGAAGTTTGTAATATATTGAGTGTGGGTTGATGAATGGTGGGCAGCATGCAAAAGCAAGTGGGTTATTAAGTGCGATGTACATTCTTGTTAATGATGAAATTACTGACCAGTATATCTTAAAAGCGTTATAAGAGACATATAATGTCTTCCGTAATTATACAAAGAATACCAAGGCTACTCTATACAATAATATCACAAGACTTTTATAAAGGTTGGTTGGGCGTTATTACGATTCTAGCCAAACCTAGAAGGATTTGGTTATCATAACAAAGGTTTAAGCACCCATTAATGTATTTCATACGTTCCATGGTAACCATGGCTTTTATAGTGATAATTGTACGATGATCAAATTCAATTACATATATCATGAATTTAATTCTGAATTAAACCATCTTAAATCAAACTGCTGCCGATAGGGCCTGCCCATGCTCGATGGCGGATTATATCTGTTCCACCGAATCGTAGGTCCAGTATATCAGTTAAAGAACATCTGAAGTCGTTGGAATTCATATTATCGGTAACGTCATAATAAGTGCAATGACTTAAAGGGCACATAAGGTGACCGACATTACTTTTCGGTACGTATAGCCAATGGTTACTATATCCACTTTACGGCAAGTCTACACCAATCTGATTAAAATTAATTCGGCTATCTTCACTCAAAGTCGCAAAAAGAGACCTCCCGTAAAAACGACTTTGCCAATTATAGAAAACACTCTTAATCCCCTCAGTCGCCAGTGACGTCACAGTGACCGAATGCATATTCGGAATGTTTATTCCTTAATTACCTATATACAGCCGGCGTGGGTATTCATTAACGCCTGGCTGATTCCTTAATCCCCTAATTAAATAAAACAATTGGCGACGGGATAATTTGTTTTGTAATTTATTTTAATTTAAGACCCAATTTAGCATTTGTTTCATAATGTCCCGCCCTCTCTTCTCACGACAGCGATTTTAAAACTGTGTTTTAAAGTGACTTTTTGATAAGGAAGGATCCCTCTGCCATCGTGTTCAGTCCAAACGATTCGTGATACATTTCCGCCAAAAGAGTATTGTGGTTCTAATTAACCCGAGTAAAAGAGTACAGGAGTAAAAAGATGTGCTCATGCAAAATGTGTCAAAAAAGTCAAACATGATTGAAACGCGATTTGTAAATGACGATCCGTTATCGGAGTAGCCAACTGTATCTCGTTTTCATGTAGGCATCGTACGGCGCCTTTCTTTCTGCATGTGGATTTGACTTCATTACTCTGAAATAGACCGTAAAAATGAAATACGAAAAAAATAACAGTACAAATAAATCGAAAAACAGATTGAGAAGGGTCATATATCTATCTTTGTGTATTAATAATAATATGGTAAGTGTAGTGTCTGCCATTAATCAATCCGACTAAAGTTGCACAGACATGGGGTCATACATTAATTTAAACCTCGATGTGGTATTATAATGCTGATTAGGTAATTATCTTTTTTACGCCGGCCAGACCAAAGACATTTAGGTGGAACGTGTGCGTAATACCCCACGAACGAAAGAAAAAAGTTACGGGGGAACTTTTCTACAAACATTTCCCCGCACGACAACTAATCGTAGAATCGCACACTTGTTAATTGTATAAAATAATTAAGCTTTACTCATCAGTTGTTTATAATTATTATTTACTCAATAATCAATTAGCTTTGTTCCCCGATGATTTTGTAATAAAGTAGCCTCGTATTATTTGTTGATTGGCGTTTAAACAAGATTTAATTGACTTGATATAAAATCTGAATATATATTATTCGATGGATAAACGGTTGTGATAAGATTAGGTTTTATTGTCTAACATCGTTTAACTTCTTTATAACAAAGGTATTTCGCAATTACAATGACAGTTTAATCACTCACCAAACGGCATCAGGAGGAACTCCGCGTATGATCACGTGTATTTGATATTCATGTCCATGAATCCCATGCAATTTTCGCGCCAAAATTTTACCTCCGTTACTACGCCCGTAGTATGCATGGAACCGTACATGGTAATAAGATTCTAGGCGTTGATTGGCTGAGAAATGAAGGCGATCTATTGTTATGCATAGTCATCTGAAAATTCCATATTCTCTGTGAATTTCAAATGGAGTTACGATAAAAGTTGTTCTTTGTGTATAGAAATGGTTATTATTATTATATATAGCTAATAATGAATATATCGATAAATGACTGGCACCATTTGTATTTCTGTACTTATAGAGAATAGTTTGGGATATCAGGTATTACGGGGTTATCCAAATTACCGGTAAATGCGCTAATTGCTTGGGTTGTCTTCATTTGTCATGTGACCTATTTAAACAATGGCACCTTAAATGGATCTACG